AACGATCCGATAAACCAATATGTGCAAGTAATAATGATAATGTTGATGATTGTTTAGTATGTTCATATAATTCTGCAACAAGTTCAATAAGAATATTATCTGATGATGATATTATTAATGAACTATCAATCATTCTTTGTTCTTCATTAACATGTTCATTATTTAATGAATTTGTATTTTCATTTGATCGTTATAAGAATGTATAAATACTTAGGTCTATCCAAAAGTTCTGTCGCGGTTATCTTATTTCTGAATAGAAAGCTCAAAGAAATTTTCTTTTTTTTATGAATAGATAGAGCGTCTTTCACTCTATTTTTTTTGTGCTATTTGATCATTCTTCAACTAATATTATAATAATAAAATTTCGATAAGAACTGTTTTTGTATAAAACTTAACTAACGGATGAGGCAGATTAATATGCTTTGCATTTCAATTTTCAATCATTCAATACGTTGTATTAAAAAATAAACTATACCACAAGATGCAGCGTGAAGAGCTCTACAGTTTATAAAGAACAGTTTATTTTATATATGAAACAAGAAAAACGGAATATCTCGTCGCATGATTTTTTCGGGCCAGTGAAAATTAGTCGCACAAAATTTTTGTTTCTTTGACAAGAAATACACAATTAAAATAAGTTTTACTTTGTAGATTGTAGAGCTTTTCACGCTGCATCTTATGGTGTATTTTATTTTTTTAAATAAAAGATATCATGTGACAAAAAGATGAATTCATCTTGTACCAAAAAATATCGTTTCCGTACGATCGAAAATTGATCGCTCAAAATTTTGTTCATTTAGAAAACAAAAAATGCATCTACAAAATAAGTAGTCTTATGTAAATTGTAGAGCTTTTCACGCTGCATCTTGTGGTATAGTTTGTTTTTTAATACAGTGTATTAAGTAATTGAAACATTTAATCTGCCTCATCTGTTAGTTAAGTTTTATACAAAAACAGTTCTTATCGAAATTTTATTATTATTATATTAGTTGAAGAATGATCAAATAGCACAACAAAATAGAGTGAAAGACGCTCTATCTATTAATAAAAAAAGACAATTTCTTTGAGCTTTCTATTCGGAAATAAGATAACCGCGACAGAACTTTTGGATAGACCTAAGTATGTGCAAGTATTAAAATAAGATAATCAATTTTGAACGATGATAATTGACGTATTATTGTTATTGAACGTTCATATAACGCTATATATCATTTTTAGAATATTGACCAACTATTAAAAGTCTTTCAAGACTAATTGATATAATTTTTTTCTTTAAATTATCATCTTTAATTAATGATAATAAAATATCATATGAATTAAAATTATTATTTTATATATCATTATTTAATTCTTTATTTAAATCAACTTAATGACTTTCAAGTAAAAATAAACATGATGCATATGCATGAATTTTAGTTAATTTAAAATTGTGTTCAATTAAACGTATATATAATTGATTATTTTCTTTTGTTGTTTTTTCAAGTAATATACCAGATTTACATAAATTATAACTTATTAATGATATCTTTATCAAACCATGTACGAAAATATTCATCACATAAGTCATATAAATTTGATAATTGTTGTGATTATGGAAATAAATCAGATACATATATAAATGAATGTATTAATTCAAATTTTAATTGAATACATAAATTATTTGAATTTGTTGTTAACCAATGAACATACATTTCAATTAGAACTTGCAATGATGATATTAAATGAAGACCATGACGAGAAAATAAACTATCGAATAAACTCTAAATTATATATATTTTTTAAATCGAAAGTGAATGCTAGTGAAGAAAGCGTTCAATCTCATTTTCTGATTGATAGCAAATATTTCTCATATTTTACACTTCATTAATAGAATGCAAGAAGTAATTAGAATATATTTGAAATTATTGATTTAATCTTTTATCTATATGAAATAAGATAGTTTGTTTGCATGCATTATATATCAAATCAAAGTCAGAGAAACACTAGATTTTTTGTTTGATGAAATTAATAATTTAGCAACGAGTTTGAGTTTCTCTTAACTTAGAGTTCTGTATAATAAAGTTTAAAATTCTTTTGATAACCTTTTTTTTCTACACTTATGTTGAATATTCAATATTAACAAAAATACAAGTTCTACTTGTCAATTATTAAAACATATATGAACTTACATTAAGGGTGTGGGTGTGGGTTTGGGTGGGGTGTGGGTGTGGATGTAGGTATAGAAATGATCTATCCACACTCATACGCACACCCATACCCACCCACACCCCACACCCACCCACACCCATACCCACCCACACCACCTACACCCACACCACCCACACCACCTACACCCACACCACCCACACTCTAGGAATCGATTTTAATCAATTTTTTATGATCCATTTTGCAGAAACGGTATGTGTAAGGACAGAAAGAATGTCGTGGCCTCCATTTGCTAGTAAAAGTTCTTTAATTGATTACTCGAGTAACTCACTTTACGGTGATGACTACAGAGTAAAATGAACTTTGTAAAAGGTCACCGCATAGCACCTCGAAGGGCAATCTGTCTGGACTCTTGGTAAAGTCCACAACTTATCTAAGTCCTAAACTTTTCTCCCAGGAAAGTTTAGGACTTGGAAAAGCCCATGTAAACCTATGTTACCTGAAGCAGGTAATAATCGATTTGTTCATGATTTAAAATCGATTAAAATGAGA